ATTATCGTGAAGCAAAAGGATGCCCTTACTCAGTATGCCACGCCTTTCGTTCCAAATTGCTGGGCGCAATTTTTGCAAAGTCTCACAGTACATTGTTGAATTGATTGTGTCACCACGGGACAAAAAGTCCAAAAGCAAAACCCCCATTCTGCCCATAACATGGTACGTATCATTTTCCGGGCAGACATTGTTGCCAGGTTGCCATTGCATTGATTGCTGTTTTGATTCAGGTGCACTGTAGGCCACTCAGGTTTCATCTCCATTAACAATTAGGCTCAAGAAATCATCCCCGTTTTCATAGTAACACTCAAGGAAAGCTATGGCACTGCCCATACGTTTAGTTTTTTTCACCTCCGTCAATATTTTCGGTACCATGCGTGAGCAAACGTTCGATAATTTAATCATTCAGTCGCAACTGTATTAAGAACACTTCGACAAACTTGAGGAAAGTCATCAGATAACGACGTAATCGTAAGGCCCAAATCATCAGTAATGACTAAAAGTCACCCGTTCCGTTGACCATCATGCACATTTGTGCGGTCATCTTCAGATGCTCGAACCCACTTCCTGACTATTCCATCACTTATAATGTTTTCTCCGTAAACTGCACAGATCTCCACATGAATATCGATCGCTTTTAAACCTTTTGCACTCAGAAAACGAATTACAGACCGAACTTCACAGTCGGCGGGACTCTCAATCGGCGTTCCCATTTTAAATGTACACGTTGCCATTTTAAATTAATTATGCTAACACCTGTAATCACGGGTGAGTGTTGCAGTAATGGCGCCTCAGCCTTGCCAATAGATGCAGGTGCACAGCGCGCATGCACAAAATGTCCACCGCAGCGCTGCCACGGCGGAATATTAAAACGGTACTTACTTAAAAAATACGCCTCGTACTAATATTAAATTTGCTAACATTTAGAAGAATGATATCTAACTGACCCAATTTTTTTCATTGAAATTTGTTACGATTTTGTCAAAAATATTTACCTATGCCAACTTTAAACCCCCAAAAGTTCAGTTTTAGGTTTTATATGCAAGGTATCTCTTGCGCTATGCGCCAAAAAAGCACGTAAAAACAGATTTCTCTCTTTCATGGAGAATTTACCATCAAAATTTATGTTTTTAATAAAATTTTCTTCTCATTATGCTAAATGTATGGAACTATTTTAAAGACTGAAACGAATAGGAACTATTTATGTCATAAAATCATAAATTCGTAACTTGTGGAAGAACATTTTAAGTTTCAATTGTATATTCCAATTGGTTTGGTTTTGTGGTCTACTTTCCCGTAAGTTAGATATTTTTTTCACGGGTGAATGGGTAATTACTTAAAATCGTACATACGGAAGCGTACTGAATGTAACGCAATATATTTTCAAACATGAACCCTCATTACTTCTAAACATTTAGTTCTATCTACTTAATTTTGATTTTATTGGATTTAGCAGGAAAAAGTACATAAGAGACACTGTCTCATGTACCTAGACAGCAATGTCAGACGCATAAACAGGTATAGGTTAAAAATTGTACTTTGTACGCTAAAAACAAAAAAAAAACAAATACAAAACATTATTGTAAGTCAACATTATCTCAATTTCAGCTGCTATACTATCCATTCTATGAAATTTAAATGCTCAAGTCTTAAAATTTGTCACAATTAAGATTATAAAAAGCGATGTTTTATGTCTATGTTACATACGTTAATTAAAGCAAAATTAAAATTCAACATGGTTCATGATTTAGAATGTACGCAGTATATTTTCGTTTTAAAGCAGTAAATGTTGTTGACATAGTTTAATAAACTTTTATGAAGTTTGATGCCATGCTTAATGTTCTAAGTTAGCCTAATGTAATTTAAGGGCATGAAGAAAAATATTAAAAAGTAAAAATATTTTTTCAGGAATATTTTGTTTGCATCATTTTGTCACTTACTATTATTTCTATATAGTTACTTCAAAACTTTCTTGAATTTATATCAAATAAAGGCACTCTTCAATAATTGCTCATTCGAAAATTATGTTGTTTAAAAAAAAGCAATTAAATAACGTTTTACAGCACAAGTTTGAAAATAAGGCATATTATTATCATTATATTGCTCAAAACTATTCATTACTAAAGTTAATTTTTTTGTTATAGGAAGTTGTTATAAGAATTTTCTATAAGAAAAATAATAAATTATTATTTTTGAGTAAACATACAAAATATTAAAGCATAGATTTATATTTCCTATTTCATTATTTACGTTAGTTTAAAAGCTGGAATCAAATTTTTGTTTTCTTAGCTAGGTTACTTCTTTCCTAGAAAACGAAACAGATCAACCACCATCTACTTCTCTTTTATTTTATTAAATTAATACCTACTTGCATATTGAGATAGGTATTAAGCAGTTTATTGCATCTGTTCCCTTGAATTGTTTAAAAATTTTATGCAGGTTCACGTTTATGTCTTCAAACGTAGTAAAATTTGACAATTTGTGTACATAAGAATATTTTAAACTGGTATTGAATTTGTGAAGTCGATGATAAATACTTTCGCAGCTTTTGTGTTATCAAGCAAAATGTGTTAGTTTTCAGATTTTTTTGTAGGTAAGAAAAAAAATTTTTTTTTAAAGTTACGCTAGAGTAAATGAACTATTAAAGTTTGTTTTGCAAAATAGTTTAACATAAACTCGATTTTTAAGGGATGGTTTTTTAAATTTAAGCGATTTTTTTATAATTGAAAGTTTGATGGAATTTCCAACAGAATGTGTTTTCAATTATGATCACTTTTTACAGATTGTTCGATTTTCAGTTACAGTTTATGGGAAATTTCGTAATTAACTACCATAAAATAAACGAAATATATTTTTAAATTTTGATCAAATTTATTTAAATAGATTACCATTCATTGCAAAAGACATATCTTTACTAAACGGAAAGTCGACGGATATATGACTCAACGGGTATTGAAGGATATTTCTGTCCATATCCATACACATTACATATAATGGTGTTTCGAAATATAATCAGCTTTAACTAAATTACAGCGTGAAAAAAAAATAATCTGTAGTACACGAGAACAAGCATTTTTTGTAAATACTACATTAAATTAACGATGTTTAAAATTCTTTACATAAGTAAAAGACTTAATAAAACGGAATTTGAATAAGGAAAAAAAATTCTAAAATACTCATTATTTTCAATAGAATGTTTTTAAATTCTAATAGATATTTTATTTATTTATTTATTTTATTTTATATTTTACTTTTTTTATATATTATATTCTGTTTATTTCAATTTAATAAATTATTTTATTTAGTATTTTATTTACTTAATTGTTCATTGCTTTTGTAAATAAGAGACAAATCCTTGAGCTTTACTAGTTTATTTATTCAGTAATTATATTCAAGGCAATATTTCGAAACAAAACTTTATAACAAATTTTATTTTTTTATTTGTATGCAATTAAATACGTTGAAATTAATTTATTGTTTAAAGAAAATTTAACTCATCAGATCTCGCTAAAACGTTTTATTTTTCATTTTTTACGTTACAATTGAATGTTAAGTTATTGTTGAAGAGTTCAATAATATTTCTTACAATACCAAAAAGACTCTGGTACTGATTTGTATCCTTGTCTATGCCTTTCTATGATTTTTTAACTAAGAAGCATTTTGAATTTCCTAATTTGAAAATTTTATTCTGAGACCTCCATTGCTTTAAACCATTCACAAAAATCTGTTCTCTACGAGAAAAACGTAAAAGAAACTTATCAAATTCATCTCAATTGCCTGAAAACAGAGAAGAATTTAATTAACTGAACAGTGGATTATTTAATAAAATTTTATCTAAGCATCGCCTACCACTGCCTAGCAAGTGGAATCAAACAAGACTGAATTACGTAAGAAAATGTTTTGAAAAAGATTGAATTATATAAGTATAAACCTCAATTTTTTTGCCTGACTAGGATTCAAATGATAAATATTTTTTACATGCGCTTTGGTAGTTGGATCCATGCATTTTTGCATGATCAGTAAGACATGGAAGTTTTTGTTCCCTACAAACTAGGAATATGTCGTAACAGATAGTTTTAAGTGACATGTTACGACCAATAGTATTCAAAACCAGGGCTCGAAAAACAGCCCGTCCTCGGCGGTCAAAAATTCCCCGAGGACAACGAATTTCTCGAATGCGACGTCCGCGCGGATGGCCACTTTCCTGTTAATTGACATTCCAGATAACTTGTCTTTCTCATTTAAATTATTTCATGAAATAAATAAATTATTTCATAAACAAAATACTAAGTTACTATTAGTAACCTAGTATTTCTTTTATTACTGTATAATGTAATTCTAGTATTTGTAATCCTAGTAACTACTAATTCATTGTGCAATTTATATAAATGTTTGCAATAAATAAGAGAAAATTATATTTTAATTTATTTAGAAGCGATGGGTTAGTTTAAAAGGAGGGCGGGTACATTGTTGGACAAGCCGTCCTCGGGGACGGCTTCAATATCAGTTTTTCGAGCCCTGTTCAAAACTATACTTATTAAATAAATTTCTGTTACTAAGTAACAAAGTTTGGACTATGAAAAGGTTTTTCTAATTTGCATGGTAGGAGGAACAGTCATAACTTATAACAGATTTTTTATTACTCAACTGAGATGTTACTGGAGAGACAGATCTGATCAGAGTTTTTCTTTGAATAAAATGTAATCAATTTCCAGCAATATCTGCTCTATAGATACTTTTAATGGTGTTTAACTGTAATAAACTGACAACAGAATTATTTACTATAATAACATTGGCTATCGCATGGTTATATAACATTAAACTTTTAAGTTTCGTTTTTGCTAAAGTTTCCGAAATAATAATGAATTGCACACTTTTTTTAATTATATTTTAAAAAACAACTTTTTTTTTGGGAGCAAAAACGACTTGGTATCAAATACAAAATATCTGTGTCAAAAAATACTCACTATCTTTACTTTAAAATTATAATAGATGCATCAACGAATCAAACTTCAAAATTACACACATAAACTACAATAGTCGAATGTTAATGTTTTAATGCTCAGGCGAGTTTTATTCTTTTTTTCAGGTTAATTGACATGAAGCTTCATATTGTGTCACTAATATTCATTTGTTTCAATATCGAAGTTGCTTTTTCAAGACCACAGCCGCACATTATATTTATTTTTATTGATGATTTGGTAGGTATGATAAAATTTCAATATCAATTCTTGATATTTAAGTTTGTAGGTATTCAATTCCTGTTATTTCAATTCATTGTTGTTATTTCAATTGCATTGCTGTTTTCTCTGAATATCCACAAATACCTTTAGAAAAAAAGACCAAAAAAATAAATAATAATACTTATCAAACGGAAAACACCACTGTGATTTTCACAAAAACCACATTTTTCTAAATAAACTCAATAAAATAATTAATTTTGCAGAAAAATCTAAATTTTAAAAAATACACGAATAAAGAAAAACCTATTCAATTATTTTTTATTTTTTTACTCATTTTGACCTACAATAAATAAATAAAATAAACGTAGATTGTGTTGTAAAGTAAGCAATTTAATTAAAGTTAATTATGCAAAACTAAGATGGTAGAAAATACAAGATATCTCTTTAGGGATATTTAAAAACGGCAGGCTCGAAAATTGCTAGTACACAACAGAAAACACCATTGTGGTTCCTACAGATTCAACAATGAAAAATATCTTTGAACAAAGCTAATTTATTTACTCAATTCTAATTTCGACAGCATTTAATATGAATTCAAAAAAAATTAAATTCGGAAAAGACTAAATGATTTAGCTTATTCTTTTTAATTATTTCCACTTTGGTTGTTACTGCCGGGACAAATTTCCATGACCCATAGACATTTTAGGAATAATTAGATCCGATTTACTTTTATTTAATCAACTTCAAACATTAACTTATTTCATATTCTCACAGTTTCCGATGTCCATGGAATCTTTTGCAAAAAAACTAACAAAATATGGTTGTATTTTTCAAAAAATGCTCTAAAAGCCGAAATTCAGCATTTAAAGAACAAAATGTGACATTAATGGAAGAACACTTTAGAGCAGGTAATTCACATAACAATAGACTACTTTTTTTTACTCTTTTTTTTTTCTTCAGTCCCTATTGCTTTTTTTTGGCTTTCTACATTAATTTTTATCTTCCCTCTTTTTTTTCCATCTTTCATTCATATCTTTTTCAATCTTTACTCTTCTTTTATTTCTTTTCTACTAGTCTTACTTCCTCTCATTTTCTCACCTTCTTTTCTACTTCCATTCCTTCTTTAAAGTACTGTCTTTTTTCTTTCATTACTTCCGTTCCTAGGCTTTCCATACTTTTTCGATTGTTTTGTTGCCTGTAATTCATATACTTCATAAATAATTTGGATTATGTTGAACTTTTTTGAATTTATATTTTTGAAATATTTATCGTTAATAATTTAGGGATGGAATGATGTTAGTTTTCATGGATCAAAACAGTTACCTACTCCAAATATTGATGCCCTTGCAAATGATGGTATAATTTTAAACAATCATTACTCACAACCAATATGCACCCCATCAAGAGGAAGTCTCATGACAGGAAAATATCCTTTACGTTTAGGTGAACAATTTGAATTTTACTTTATTTTAGTTATTATTATGATTAACACTAGCCGTTCCTCCTGACAAATCGGGCTTAACCCTTAAATTCACGCTGCTACCAATTGTCTACCTTCCAGTTCCATTTAATTTTATTCAAACTTTTGAGTGTGAGAGTTTTCGAACGCACGTTGATAATTATAAAGAGGCATTACGTTCAGCGAAACCTTAATTTCGACACTATTTACCAAGAAATACATATTTTATTGTGTGTGCATTGATTTGACTGCTTTGCATGCCGTTTGTTTGAGCATCCGAAAGCTTTTTTTGTTCTTTATTCTATTTTTTTCCATTTCATTATTCTTTATTTTTATTATTCTTTATTTTCATTGTACTTTTCAAAATACGAATAATTTGTTGGAATTGGCGATGTACGGAATATGAGGAAATAGAGGAAAAGCCTTTGCTAAATTTATTGCAATTTCGACAGTAATCATTATACACTGTTAGGAATTTCCCGAAAATAATAGTTAAATAACAATTTATTGAATGGTTATTTTACCATATTTAATCAAACTAGTCAAATTACCATAAATAAAATGGTAATCAAACTGTTAAATTTGAGAAAAACTATTCATTAACTGCTTTCACCCAATACGGTAAAACAACCAGAATTTTATCACGCCAGCTAGAAACAACTAATGAAACTACTTAGTTCTTTGAAATTGCGTGCATATCATAACCGAGCGGGCTTATCTGTCAATCTCATGACCGGCTGAACTGGAGTTCGAGTCCCAGTGTTGACACCACACTATTTCCTCCATTTCCCTCAACACAAGAAGAATTTCCAGTGTCCGGCACTCTCCAATGCCCATTACCTTGCGAAAAGCCGAACTCCTACGCCTAGTCAAATAAAATAAAAAAATTTCTTTTTACGTTTTTGGAAAATGCTAGTTGTAAATGGTTTAGAAACCGTATAGTTTTGAATTTATGGTTTTATAACCATACTTTTTGTAAATGCTTTCAAAACCATAAACGAAAAATATATTCTTTACATTAAACTTTACTGTTAATCGGATGGACAGACAGCTGCCAGTTATTTTACCATAATTTTAGAATGAAACTTTTAACAGAGTACTTCAGATTGACGAAATAAGCCAGAATAGATTTTCTTTCGTTTGGAAGAACATTTTTTTTTAAATTATGCAATTTGACCATAACTAAAGTTTATTTTATTTTCTGATTTTGATATTTCATTATTTATCACTTGATTTGTGGCAAATATTAGAATGAAAAGTAAAATAAGAAATATACGTGCGTATAAAAAATTTCTTAACACATAGTGTGTTATGAAGTTATAGACTTTATTTCAAATATTATTAATAGTTAAGATAACATTTCATTCACTAGTCTATGCTGTAACTTTTAAAACTGAAGCAAATATATGATAAAATTGATTAACCATGGAATGGAACTTAGTAATAAGTATTAATTGAATTAAAAAAGAGCTATGTTATAACAAGCAAAACTAAAGGAGAAATGGTACTAATTAGATTATGAGAAACGTAAAAATTTACGTACCAATTGATGCCAATAAAATTTAATTTGTTTTAGAAATAGGTTTTAAATGCCCCAAAAACTGGAATATGTATGAGAAAGTAAAATTTAATGAATAAGTGGTACTAATTTGTTAAGGAGAAAGGCAAAAAATCTCAATGTTATTATTGAACTACTTCTAACACATTTCAAAAGAGAAGAAAGCCCGAATCGAAAAAAGTAAAGAGTAACTCGTTATAATTTATATTTATATATTTATTGAAAATGTTAACATAAATCTTAAATGAAACTTATTTTAACTACAATATATGCACTCCTATATTCATTTTAATCAATTGCAGAGTGGAACAATTTTAAAATAAGAGTGCAACAGTTAATTACTTCCAGTACTGCAAGAGGGATTTTAATGACATTTGGTGTGAACATATATTGATAAAACTAGTCATTTAACAGTTACAACTCATACACATTATCATTTATAACATTCTTTGGATTCAAAAAACATGAAACAGTAAATATATAATCGAACAGAAAAACATATTGATTGAGAATATATTTCCCTTTTATAAATCTTACAATCGATATGTCTTTATAATCGATCTGTCACTTTCAACAGTATGGTAGGATCTGCGACTTTTCTAAATGATCCTTACTTATACCATCATGCTTCCGCTATAAAAGAGGTCGATTTCTCACATATTGGAGAGCCTTTAGAAAAGACTGTCTGCTCTAAGTTATCGCAATCTTCTACCTTTAAGACAGTAAAGGTTTAACGTCTACCAATGCATGCCTTTGACAGAGATACTATGATGGGTGAGAGATGCATGAATAAAGTTTTGAGTTCATCTTTCAAAGGGTACAAAAGAAACAGATTTTATTGCAATGCATGTCCACATAAAGCTCATGTAGTCGATGATTTCCTGAGAAGATATGGCATCGTAAAATTGATTGAACGTCCAAATCTCCGGATCAGTGATTTTAACGAGTCTATATTAACAAATTTTGGGCTTTTCTTTTAAAATCGTCTTTAAATTATCCATGAATAGACAGTTTTTTTTAATCTCTTTTAGGGCTCCAACATGGTGTAATCACAGCAACAGCTCCTTGGGGTCTTTCTCCTAAAGAAAAAATCCTGCCTGAATATTTACAAGATCTTGGATACTCCACATATGGAGTTGGAAAGGTAAATAAGCTCCAGCTTTAAAGTATATGTCTTAATACATCATAATTAGCATGATATCGGAAAGTTTTCTATCAAGATTCCGCCTGGGTAGCCTTTTTTTACCTGGTCTACCAGTTCTTTTTTACCTGATTTGGGCAAATAATTGGGCAAATCAACCATACCGCTAACCGGTATTACTAATTCTCTGTATTACTAATTCTCTGTTTCTCCGATATCCATCTGCGATATTACAACATCATTCAAACTTAGAATCCCTGTATCTAACATAATTGACAACCATAGCTATCTTTTCCTTTTATGACGTAACGAAGTTAATTATTAACCAAGGTTACAGCCAAAATTAAATATTTATCTGAATTTCACCCAAAATCTAAACAAGTACCGGTTTTTATGAGAGCCTATTCTTCTCCAAGAAGGTTTTGTTGCGTAACAATACCAATTGAACTTCTTTCTTGTTTCCAAAAACCAACGAAACTTGAGACAAATATTTACAGAGAAGAAGAAGCAGTCATGAGGCTCCCCTCCATTCCAGTCATCTATCAGAATTATGACTAGCAGCTTCTAAATTGTCTACATTGATAAAGAAAAGAGAAAGATCGGTAACCAAACTTGGCGAATTTCTCTCAAAATTCGCTTTCTTACTCCTATTCAAAATCATGCTACTTGGAACGAGCTGGGTTTCGAAATATTACCAGACAAAAACCATGCCAACTACACCAACATTTAATAAATTATCTATTTACTGATTCAGCTCTTTAAATATAAAAAAATTAACTTCATTTTTAGTTCATTTACAAGCACATCAACAGGAAAGAACTTCTCAACTAAAAAACTAACATTACATCATACATTTGACATTTTATTCGGTAGAGAATTGCATAAATAGTTTTAGAATCGGGAACCCCTTGGTTTTGCGAAGAATTTGATTTAATAGCACAATTTTACTAAAACACCAATTCTAGTTACCATGATATTCTTTGTTTTCATTGAAGACACTTTCGGGTAACTGAAATTTTTGTTTGTCTTTATGTGATTGGTTCTTGATTTATTTTCATTCGCTTTAAATTTAACTTCAAATTTTGACCTCAGTTATTCTTTGATCATTAGTTACTTGTTTGTTATCGTTGTTATTACAAAAAGTAACAAATAAGATTGGGGAAAGATATCTAAGGCAGTGCAAGACTGAAAAAGAAGGGCAACATAAAATGCGGTAATAAGCAATTATAAAATAAATTCATATAACATAATTAAAATGTACATTATCAAATTTGTAATTAAAACATAATAATTATCTGTAGAAGTTAATAATTTATCATAAAATATGCAGTAGTTGAACATATACATCGTAAATTACACAAATTAATAACATATTTAAGTTTTATAAATTGAACGTTAATGAAGTTGAGGGCAGAAAACCCGTAAACAAGAAATTAAGAGTGAGTTAAGAGGCCAAAAGTAAAGCAAATTAAAAAAAATTTAAGGAGAGCATAAACTTGTGATAAATAACATTATCACTATATATATATATATATATATANTCTGTATATATATATACCGAAGAGCCATTACATTATGACTACCCTCCATCTATAACAATGGGCTCGCCCAGGTTTTCATGGTTTCTCGCCCAGAAACAGTGTTTTCATGGGATACATTAGGACCCATAATCCTCATGGATAAATCCCTGACGTCTGTAAGCTACTTGAACATAGCTGCAGACCAGGTTCACCCATATTCATGGCAACAGTTTTTCCTGCTGGGGATGGTGCTTACCAACAGGATTATGCACCATGTCATAAGGGGCGAATTGTCATGGATTGGTTCCAGGAACATTCCAGTGACTTTCAAGTCATGTCTTGGCCCCCAAATTCACCTGACCTTAATCCAATAGAGCATTTGTGGTCCTACTTGGAAAACCAAATTCGTGCTGCCACGCTGCCTCCTCGCAATGTGAGGGAAGCAGGACTAGTAGGGGAGCTCTTGGTACCAGATACCTCAGACTACCTATCAGCACCTTGTGGAATCAATTCCACGGCGGGTTCTAGCAGTTTTGAGGGCTAAAGGTGGTCCTACACGCTATTAGCAGGGTGGTCATAATGCAATGGCTCTTCGGTGTATATACTATATATACAGAGAGAGATTCACCATTGTTGAACACTATAGTACTTTTTTATATTTTAATTGCTATATTCTAAGTGCTTAGAATCATAATTGTGCATAAATGGGAAATTAAGTAAATTAGCCTATGTACCGTAAAATAATTAAGAATTGTTTAACTTCTAGTGGCATTTAGGATTTTTTCAAGAAAACTATCTTCCCATGAACCGAGGGTTCGATTCCTTCTTTGGATATTGGAATGGTAAAGAGGACTATTTTACTCATTGGGCAGAAGGGGTAAGCTGTTTTATAGTTAAAAAAGCTTAAATTTAGGCTATGGGTGCAATAAAAGTTGAAAATTTTTTCTTTTGAATTTTTTACACAACGTTTTATTTAACCTTGAAATAGACATGGTAAAGCTTTAAATGAAGCAGCTTGGTCTTATTATTTAGCTTTAATTTTGTATTGGATAAATGGTCGTCAGACAGTGGATGATTAATCATTGGACTATTTGACATTAGAAGAACGATCTTTGAATTATTCGACAATTTTTGTTGTACTCCTTGAACTTGTAATTCAGTTTCAGTTTTTAGTTTAAGAAATGAAAATTATCCTCTTTTTTATGAAGTGATTTATCGCTTATGAAAATTTCTCCATGAGTTTCAGAAATAAATGGTTTATGTTAAAAAGCCCCTACCACCCAAGTCGTGATGAAAAATGCAAAATTGTTAAACATACAAGGAGGCATTAATTCATTCATCAAAGTAGGTGTTTCTGCAAAACCGAGAAAAAAAAGAGCCATAAATTCTTAATGCATCTTTGCAACCTGTCTTACCTTCATGAGAAAATTAAATTTCCCAGTTAAAAATAAAAGGATTATGATTATAACTGAAATTTTAATTTTTTGCTCTTATTGGTGCACTTTGATTTTTTTAGTATTTCTTCCATTAAAAGTCTTTTTTTTTATCAAGATCTTGTCAAATTTGCTAGTTATTTCTCTGATTGGACCACGATCAATTTACTTATTTTTTTATATACACATACATTAATTATTCAATTACATTGTTAGATTACGCACACACACACAGGCTCGTTGCTTATTTCTAGTTTTATGTTATGATTTATTCGTATAATAACGTTTTAAGATATTTAATTAACTGATTTATTTTTTAAATGCTTATATGTTTTCTTTTAAACTTTTAATATTTTTGAAAGTTTAATTGGACTGGGTTTTTCTTCTAATTTCAGCAAAAGGCTCATGGGTTAGATTTGCATGACAATGATATCAATGCCTGGAATTATACTATGGTATATGCTACGGAATTATTTACTGATAAAGCTATATCTAAAATTCTGAATCACAATACGTCTAAGGTAAGTGGTTGTTGATTCCGCCATATTGTATTCTCAAAAAACAAAACATTTTTAACAGGTGTCCCAGAAAAAGACCCACGATTCACAAATGGAACTAGCTTGATATCAAAATTTATGGAGTAAATCTACAACATAATCTTCATTAATCCGAATATGCCCATGACCTCAATATAGTCATATGGAGAATATTTAATGTAAAAAATTCTGAAAATATAAATTATTTAAGAAATGTACACGTCTTTTACAATATTCAAAATATATCATGTCCTTTTAATATAATTTTAATTTTACATAATGATATTTAGAAACAGAGTGGAATTAATCCTTACACAATAAAAACCTATAATCGTGTAACATGAAAAAACTCTTTACACTTACTTCTTTGTAATGTTTTTTCAGCTCAGCTTTATTATAACAATTTAGAATCCGTGATAAAAAATACAGTTGCTGCAGATGGTGTAGTAATCAACAGCACGCGATATATTATGTTGAAGTGTAACTGATATCCGGTAAAGTATAGAGATAGGACAAAAATATGAAAACACTTTTATACTAACTCATTTTTTCATATTTTTCAAGAAATACTGAGAGAATCATTTTACAATTTAACAAGTATTAAGGTTATGTGATTTCTCACATATATCAATGAAATTTAAAGCTTTTAGAGGTTTGAGAGTTCGACAATAAATTACAAACGGAAAATAGTGTTTGTGAGCATCCTATATGCCAAACAATATAGCAGTAAACTTGTAACTTTTTACGATTATTTTGGTTATTATATGCAGTAGTTTCAGGAAACTATATTTTGTACTATTAATTAAGATTAATAAAAAATGGCATCGGCAAAATTTAGGACTATTCCTTATTACAATATGTTTTATTTCTTTCCATGTTTTCTTTCCTTAAACCATCACATTTTGCTGTCCAGAGCACCATTATAGGATATTATAATTTGTTATTAAATTTTTTTGTGTGGTACAAAATAAATTTGCGGAAAACCCCTTATCTGTGTTTGAACTTTCTTTAAAAAAAATTAAAAAAGCTACTTAGAACATTGCTAGAAATTTTTTTTTAACTTTCAAAATACTTAAATCGGATATTTTTCATACGTTACCAAATATGATTCGGAACAAAATTATGAAAAAAAGTTTTTTAATGTTTTCCGCGCATGTGCCGTGTGAAAATATACTCATATCTAAATACTCATATCTTGCAAAATATTTAACGATTTTTTTAAAAAAAAATTTTAAAGGATATTTTTATTAATAAAAACTTATTCTAAAAATTTTGTTTAGTTTTAATAAATATTTCCGCAGTTATAGTAAGAAAATGTAAGGCAAAAAAATAGTTTTTTAAAAAAAATGTTTCTAGCTCCATAAGTATTTTAACTAGGCTTACAAAATTTTGAGCAGTTATTGCAAATTATAATCAAGCTATATACAAGCTACAAGTTTATTGCTATAATTTTTGGCATAGAGTGCTCAAAAACAATATTTTTCGTTCTTAAATTATTGTCTGTCTCTCAAACTTCTAAAAACTTTAAACTTCAATGATTAGATGAAAAATCACATGGTCTAAATTCTTCGGAAGTCATAAAATAATTCTCTCAGTATTTTTTGAGAAATTGAAAAAATGAGTTAGTATAGAAGTGCTACCATAATTTTTTCCATCCCCTATCGCATGGTTAGTTGGCGTCTGATTTAGGTAACCTGAAATTTTGTCCTCATCCGATTTTAAAATTAGTTACGAAGGTCCTCAAAAGATGGCAACAAAACATTATTTTCAAAATAACCACCGCTTGTAGCAAAAACGAGGTGCTATCAGATTTCAAAATTAACAGACGTCGGTGCAAATTTTTCAACTGGAATTATCTGATATGCAGTTATCACTTCTATACAAAATTCTATCTAAATTTTAAATGATGAAGTGACAAACGCTGAACCATTAGTCATGGAGTGCAATAGATTCTTCCAAATATTATATATATAAGAAATTCAATTAAGCTTTACCAATGTGAATTGAAATAGTCTTTAAGGAAGTAACAGAAACTGTTTTCTATTCTTTTTTCAGCCATTGTTTTTATATTTATCTCATTTAGCTGTTCACACTGGTAATTCGTACGGTATTTTCCAAGCTCCTCAAGAACACATCAATAGATTCCCTCACATAAAGGATCGAAAAAGAAGAGCTTTTGCTGGTAATGTTCCAAGTTCTGTTTTTCCTTCGAAATTTTCATAAAGGGGGATAGCACTCTAAAAGTTGTAAAAATTCAAAAAAAAAACTTATTTTCTGCGTAAGGGTATTTTCTCATAATCTTAAATTAAAATATAAGTGGGAAAGTTTGATATATAACAGCTGTGTGTGGGTTGCTGTTATATCTATGATCTCCTAAAGATTTTCACAATTCGCCAAATTTTGTATGACCATTCAGCATGTTTACAAAGTTTCATTATCTCTCTCGCTCCAACTTGTGGAAGCATTCTTTGATTATCTCTCATATCAAAAGAAGGTTACTTCCGATCTCACTACTAATTCAGAAAATTTTCACCGAACATGCTTCTCACTGTCAGAACTCAAAAACTATTAGATAAAATGCTTTCACCCCTTCCTTCTCGCTCCCGTGAAAATGACGGGGTTAGGTTTCGCCCTCTATTTCTCGCTCCAGTGATATTTCCGGACTGGAGTGTTCAGTAGCGTGCCAATAAGACTAAAACTAATTCATTTCTTTTGCCCGGAAAACATTTTATTTCTCATTTTACACACCAGATAGCAGTACCAGGATATCTTTAAGGTAATTGTAGATAATTAGTTTATTTTAAACTAGATGTCAGCACTAATCAAATAGGTGTATTTGTGATATGAGAAAGAAATAGGAACTTTTATGACCGTTTTCTTGAAAATTAACTAATCGAAGGGGTTAAGATTGTGCACATTTCTAGAGAAATAAATCTTGCATCAAAATGTTATTGATGCGAATATTAGTCACAGTTATTTTTTTATTTGCAGAAATGTACTCATATGTCTTTAAATTGGTAACTCAACAGGTTCGAATTAGTTTTGACGTAATTAAGTAGTTAATATTCGGATGTATTTTTCGAAACAAAAAATAATCGCATTAAAATTATAATTTTTACAGTTTTGTACTCTAAATGACTGAGGATAATAAGAAAAAGTGTTGGCCCTTTTTTTAAAAAAGTTTCAAATTAGTTTCGGAACAATTAAATTTTAAAAATTTCAGTGTTTTCTTGCATAATATCAAGAAATTAAGAAACATTAGCTTTTTTTACATCGTTTGGATGAATTTGGACTCATTAAATATTCTCCTTTTATTTGTTTGTTAGTATTATTTCTAGTGCAAAAGACATATTTAGCTACACCAAACTTTACACTACATCATAAAAAAGAAATAGAATTATTTTAATTAAGAGGCTCGATTCCCAGAATATTCAATTTCTATTCTGTATTCGAAGATATTTGCCTATCTCCGAACTGTTTGTTATTCAGTTCATGGTATAATGAAAAAATTATGTCTTCATCTTAGCTGTGAATTGATTATTTTTTTATATTTATTTCTCAAATGTCTCTTTAATTAGTTCATCTGTTGATTAGAATAATAATTTATAAAATCATTAAATCAGTAATATAATGGTGGAAAAAATTAGCGTGTGTTGAAAGTACGAGAAACTAAATAATTAAATTAAAGCAAATGACTTACAATCCTTACAATCACTTTATACTACAAGACTACGACTTTTTTTACTATGATTATACCAAACATATTTCTTTCGATGTTAGTAAACTTAATTTTATTATAGATTAGATTTTTAAAAATATGATTCTTTGTTAAAATTATATAGACAAATCTCACTTATTTCGTTGCTATCAAAACTTGCATTTTTGAAAAAGTTATTTCTAGTGGTAGTGAAATAAAAATTGTAACATTAACTGTAAACTGAAATTTCTTAAACTTCATCTTCACCTAAAACAACATCAATAATAATCAGATAGCTTATGTATGTTTAAATTAATTAGGTACAATGAGCAAGAACATTTCAAATCAGATATATTAAATAAAATAACAAAATATAAATCTTGTTACTACTTTAAATATTGAGATAAAATCTTCTGGTTGAAGTAGGAAAAGTTGGCAGTTATGTTATTTATTATTACATGTACTACTTAACAGATGCTCTTGGTGCTTCTTTATTATGCGTCAGAATGATTTCAGACACTCAATTATGACTCAGACAAATAGGGAATTTCGTTCAGCAAAATAGGAAAATCCCCCTCCCAAAAATATAATTTCGCGGCGCCCCTGCATTGAAAACAATCCTAAGAAACTCAATTCTAAGTATTTTATCTTTAACTGATGTTCTGCGCAAAACTGAACCGAAGCATGGGCACTCGCTAAATAGTCATGAAAATGATATTGTTTTATGGTTCCAAACTGTACCAGCTTTAATTTGTAGTAACTCATTTGTTATCTGGATTATGTGACTAAGTTTCAACAGATTTCAAAACAAAAAAAAATAATATAAATGGAATATAAGTTTAGCTTTGTCTTAATGACCCTATCTATAGCTTATATTTTTAAAATTTTTTTGATCATGTTATCACTTACCTTTTTATTTTAGCTATGTCATCAGCTTTAGATGATTCAATCGGCGATCTTTTCGAAAGTCTACATAAGGCTAGAATACTGCATAATAGTCTTATAGTCTTCACTACTGACAATGGTGGAGCAGTGGAAGGTATTGATAAAAGTACAGGATCCAATTGGCCTCTTAGGGGAAGTAAATACAGTTTGTGGGAAGGTGGGGTGAGAACTGTTGCCTTTGTATGGAGCCTCATGTTACGTAAGAAAAAAATCCGTAGGAATCTGATGCATATAAGTGACTGGCTTCCTACACTCTACTCAATAGCAGGTAAATCGTGACATTTTCTACATTACAGTGGTTATAATTATTTTTAAGCATGAACTATATCAAGGGCCCTCTAATCTACGGCCCCGCAAGCCAAGACTGGCTCGACATCGTCCCTAATTCAGCCTGTGGTAACATAAAATATAACACTGGTGTGTAACACAAATGGGTATGTAACACTAGGCCATTCCAGCTTTTATGAGAATTCCTCCCGACTGAAAGTCTAAAGTCGTCTGCTACTGAGCAACAAACAAGGATAACTCCATTTGTAACGGGAGGGGGGAATTGAAGAAATATCAAGAGAAGTAACTTATTGGAAGCGATTTTCCCCATACCTCTATTCGAAGTGACGCTTATATTTATTTTCACAGTAGCTGCCAGTACGCGAATCTGGCTCCTGAAAGAGTTCTCGTAAAAGCTGGACATTATCTGGCTAACTACTGTTAATTTTGATAGTGCTTTTAAAACGGGAGTTAATGTTTCCTCCAACGAAACACAATTTTTGATATTCGTAATGACTATATAACTGTAGTTGCTGTTTTTTTGCAGTCTGTAATGCAGTGTGCTGCTTTTATTATAAAAATAGATTAGCGAGTAGTGAGATGCAAAAAACTTTTAGTTCGTCGAAATTAATGTCAACTACTATAAATGTTTAGTAAAAAAGCAAGATTAATCTTTTAAACATCCTTTTAAAGGAAACATCCATTTGAAGACAGCCATCCAGATGAAAAACTTATCTTTTAAATCTGATTTGTACAAATCATCAGCCATCGCGGGTCCATCTGTGGGCTTAATAAAAGTACCTCTGTGTGGCCGAGCGTCTATACAAATAACTAACTGTTACTAATATTTAAACTAGTCATTAGAGAATAATACCTAATTTACCAAGTTGAGCAGCGGTAGCTCAGGGAATAGAGCGTTCGTTTCCCAATATGATGACCCCAGGTACGAATTCCAGGTACTAATTAGTAAGAATTCTGCTCCCGGCCCTCACAGACCACAGTGCTGACGTAAAATATCATCAGTGGTAGATGGATCATGAGTTAGAATCTCCTTACAGTCGGGCTAACCGAGGGATGTTTCTGTGGTTTTCCTCTCCGTGTAACGGAAATGCGGGATATTTCCATAAAAAAGTCTTCCACGACGACCAGTTTGTCCCAACACTAGTTTTCAAAAAATTACATTATTTTTGTAGTTAACTACAACTACTTCATTACAAATGTAGTTAACTATACTACTTTTACTTTTTTTTAAATGCTGTGATTACAATCTACAACTAAATTGCAGTTATTACTACACTACTTTTAAGAGACTAATTTTGCTGAAGAACCTATTTAATTTGCACCCATGTTCAAAACGACTTTGAATTAAAAAAAAAGGGCTATCTAAGCATGAGTAAATGTTAAGAAATATTTATTAATGGTTATATGAGTCAGTTAGTTAATCTAAATTATTTCTTACGAATTAATTCGGTAAAAATAGTTTAGATTAATCAATCGACCTCTCTGGACAGCGAATATTTAATTTAAGAAGTGCTGGGAAAAATTCAAATGTTTGAAATTTTGTAAGTACTTATTGCTGGTTCATTTCCTCTAAGAATTAGAGTACTTTTAAATTAAAGAGAAAATATGATCCCTTCCATTGCAACAACACCAGGGTTTGATGAATATAAATTCGCATTTGAAGGTATGGCCAAAGTGATAAATTATTTTATTTTATTACCGGCGTTGAACAGCCGACCCAATTTTGAATTTATGACTATCAATGTTCACCTACCTCAGTAGCCTTTTAATTTTGAACTGAATTCATAAGGAAAGGCAATTCCCGGAAACAAACTACCATTGAGACAAACTAACTTTGAAACAACATTGAGACAAACTAACATTGAAACAACATTGAGACAAACTAACATTGAAACAACATTTAGACAAACTGGCCTTCGTGGAGGCGTCATGTAATCCGCATTTGCATTGCCTGGAGAGAAATAACACGAAATTCTCCCTAGATTAGTGCACGACAAGGGGATTGTAAGAGAAATCCTGCTTACCACTACCGATATTTTAAGTCAGCACTGTGGCCGGAGTTGGGGGTCTAGACCAGCCAACGCTAGGATTCGAGCTTGGAAACGAGTGCTCTATCCCCTGAGCTTCTTGTGAACATAGTTTAAGTTTATAGAAAGTAATAGTTCAGTGCCTGCAATTAAAAAGAACAATAGTAGTTTTATGAGGAAACTTATGAATTAATTTACGAAATTTATATGCAGAATTGATGCATGAAAAAATAGGTAAAATATGGGAGTTTCACTCTCTAATACAGTAGAAATTACAGAGTGCTATGCCTTCAACGTGAAATAAAATTTTATATAAAAAAATAACAGATTGGTATGCTTTGCTACTAAACTTATCATGTGATAAAACTTTCTTTTCTTCTTGAAATTATGTTTGACAGAAAATTGATCTATTAAACTTTTTAAATGAAGGTGGAGATGAAAAAGATCTTGGAAAAATTGACGGATATAACCAGTGGAAATCAATTTGCTGCAATGAAAGAAGTCCTCGTCAATCAATTGTACTTAATATTGATCCAATATTGAAGACTGAATCAATTCGATTGCAAAATTACAAATTAGTGAAAGGTAGCAATTTCCGTGGTCGCATGGATGGTTGGTTTGATAAAGAGGGTAAAAATAAAGAAAATATTCCTTTTACAGATCAAGAACTCCAAGAACAATTAAAAGTAACTCTTATTTACTGAAGATTTTTTTTGTCAAATCTTAAAATTATGCTGTAAAAATATAATAAGTCCTTTTGCTAACTCTTACCGAGAAGTTTAAAAGGGTTTTTCCCATTCACAATAGCTTACTAATTTAAGCAAGAATTCTGAACAGGCTGTAATGTTGTTCATCACTCATTCTTTCACTTTATCTCTTTTGTTTTAACTAATACTCACTTGAGCAATTTTATTTTATCAACTTCCACTTTAGTCCCTTACCTTTATCTCTCTATGTAAGCTATAAGCTAATTCTTTAATCTTGAGATCTTCCGGTTTTAGGAATTTGAATGCTTCCAGAATTTTCGAGACATCACCGAGCGGAAATGTCCATTAGGAAAATTTCCAGTTAATTCTTTCGAGCAGTTTCATAATTTTGTCTATAAACAGAAGATTGTATTGTTTTTAAGATATAGGGAGGTAAACTAAAGGGATAAAAATGAAAGTTAATAGAAAAAAAGTGCTTAAGGGAGTAATAGGTCAAACAAAGGAGGTAAAAGGGAAAGAATGTTTGATGAACAACATCATACAGGCTGTAAGGGAACCGCTTTATATCTGTATATTAATATTACTGCTTCGCAAAAACTGCAACATGACATGAAGCGCTATCCTTCTGAATGTAAATTGCCTAAATTTATGAAGAACCTGGTTAAGCATAATGTCCAACTAGGTATCGGCAGTCAATTTACCTGGAAATACCAGGCAAAATCCGAGGTCCTTCCTCAAAAATCACGACGTGTGTATCCGCTGTTGTCAGATTCATTATTATAGAGTAGTGTATACCCTGAGTTTCAATTCCACCCTCAAAACAATTGATTCAAGGTTGATCCATTATATCGGTATTTTGATTCAAAATATTGAGCAAACATAATAGGATTCTAAACTGAAGTTTTTGTCTCTATTTAAAAAAAATTTGGTTTAAAGTTGAAAAATTGTCGGTACTAATTATCGGTATTAAATTATCAGTAATTGAAATTATTGGAAATTATCCATATTATTAGTACTTTGAGTTACGAAATCTTAAAATTATGCATCTAATTTAACAGAGAGCTAAATTGAAGCAAATGTTTGTACAAGTTAAAACATAGTATTGTTTAATCCAGCATATCAAGGGTTAATTTTCCTGATAATAATATTTAACGAGAAAAATCATTATGGTTGCAACTAATTTGCATATTTGCACTATATTATAGTTCAACATAATCCAATATTTTTAATGGTATATATAATTCTAAAGGCAAGTCACTCGAAAATCATAATGTTGTAACAGAAATGACGTCTAATAAACCATTACAAAATTGCGAAATTTTGGCTACATTTAATAGCGAAATTTAAAATGAAGCATATATGAAAACATTATTATAAAAACTTATAATTACAAAAGATACTTGTTAATTTTTGAAGAAAAAAAATAATAATAATACGCTTCTCTATAAACGTGAACTATTTTATAACACATCAAGTATAAAACCAATGTATTCGTCATTCCAGTAGAGCGGATTTTTCTGTTTTATTTTTATTTTTTGAATTTATTTGTTTATTTATTTTATTATTATGTTTGCATAAATAGTGAACTGTCTATTTTCTCCTTCAAAATCGTTTTTTTTCCTTTAAGCCTAAAGTGTTTACTCGATACTCCTCAAGATTTACAGGTTTTGCTTTTTTATAACTTAATATCATAATTCGTAATTTGCTTATATTTTTTAAAAAAAATAGTTTTTTCCTTAATTTTAAGTACTTTATTTTTGCTTCATTTTCTTTTTAAATTTACATTTACACATATAAATAAAATAATGGAAAACAAAAATAAGTCTCCCCTTTTTTTTTTTAATTTGTACTGCTTATGAAATATCCTTCACTTTTCGGAAACACCAGGGGGCAGAAGTGTAATTTTTTGTTTATGTTTTACTTTGAAACAAAACTTTACTTTAATAATAGTGTTTCTCGAAAAATGTTATTTTAATTTTCACTAATATTTTTTTTTAAAAATTTGCACTCCGATATAATTTTTCAAACTTATTTTGGGAAAGTAAATTATTTTTCTATGGTATTATTATTTTCTATGTAAGTGAAAGTGTATCAAATACAGCTAATTTTATACAGAAAGAACAAATGGACTACTACTTATAATCATACAGATCTTATCTTATTAGAAATCGTGTACAGTACAAATCTGATATTTGGACTGAATATATGTTATTGTTTAGTAAAACATAGGACTTAGACTAATTTAGCATTAACATTAGGTATGTTGCATTTAATAAATGTCGTGATAAAAAATGCTGTTTAATTGTGAAATAACTGATGATTTTGTTATTAAAATTGTCAAAAAATTGTATTAGTATGATTTCTTCCGTTTAATTTTTGAGAAAATTTGCGAAGACAAGATAACGAAATGTGTATTAATTAAATATCTCAGAGAATTATATATCATTTGAAACTTTTTTTTTCGCACAACAAATTTTCGGAGGTTATTTTCAACAATGAATGTTGGCTTGTTATAACGATGCCAAATGGCGTCGCCTCTTTATAGCTTGAGCTTGGCAGATTACGTTTTGATTTCAAAGACAATTATCAACCAAAATTTGAAAATTCCGGTTAACTAAGAATGATGAACATTCATTTGAAGAATACGGTTGAAAAGGTTCGAAATAAAGAAGTAGGAACAAAATCAATTTTTTGTTTTTATTACAGTTATCCTCCTACTTATTGTTATACTATTTTACTACAAATTTTCTTACCAAGTAAGCATTTTATTATTGTAAACCATAAAATCAAATAAATTTTTTATTATTGTAAACCTAATTTTCAAACAAACCTATCTTATTACCTTCTTTTCATCTGATATAACAAATAATACAATTGTTTTCTTATATAATGCACAGTTTCTTATATAATGCAAATTTGTTTACAAATTTTAAATCTATGAATCGAAACGAAAAAAGAAAAGTTAATGTCTCATTTCAATTTTTCCAATTTCATATATTATTGCTAATAATCGTATACGTTTAAAAATGCAAAGTTTCATACTAGAATGATTACAAATTTTATTTTTGTAGGTGTATAAAGAACTAAAGGCGAAATCCAAAGTAGTCTCCATTTTACGTAAAATAAGTAAACCAAACAGAAAGCATCGTAGATTCGATGATGAAGAGGGGAATGATCTGAAATCTGTGAGAAGATCTACGAAATACGGGAACAAGTCTGAAATATTAATCGAAGCTTACGAACCTGCTGAACATGTCGAACCTTATAAATCACTGATCGTAGAATGTGGAGAAAGACCTTTAAATATTTCAACTAACTGTGAACCCGCGAAAGCTGCTTGTCTTTTTGATATCAGTGCAGATCCTTGTGAATATAATAATTTGGCAGATATCAAACCAAAGGTTCTAATATTTTAATAATAATATGATTAATAATTTAGAAACCTTGACTTAAAAATAAACTAGGAAAAAACAAGTACTAACGCTGATGAAATTTTAAATGTTCTTAAAAAAATATACATGTCATCGTTAAAGTGTATAATTCAGTTATTTCATAGAACAACTAGACAAGTCAGTTAAAGTATATAATACATGAAAAATTTCCTACTTTACCTAGTTATTCTATAAAATAACTAATGATAGATCGTTAAAGTGAAAAATAATAATTTTAAGGCTATTTTATAGATTAATTGATCATAAATAGATCAATCTTTCGATAGATCCCAAATGATCAATCTCTCGGAAAATATATTTCATCCCTATTACAGATGATTAATAGATAAATAATAATGAAAAGTAGATGATATAATTTATTATTGCTTGTATTGCTAACATTAGTTAAGCAGAAATCAGCAAAAAAAGAATATGTTGCGGTAATAGTCATTATCAAACAAAATAGCTAAAAATAGCTGACTAAAAGCAGCTAGAACCGGCTCAGAGAATTTTCGAGTGCCGTATTTCATACTTTGACGATCAAATAATCATTATTCTATAGAATACCTAGTTATATAGTAGAATTAAATAATTTTATATCCTTTATAGACTTGTCTAGAGCCGCGATGGCTTAGGGGATAGAGCGTTCGTCTTCCAATGAGGTGAACCGGGTTCGAATCCCAGCAATGACTGGTCGATATGAATCCGTATCCGGCTTGCACCGACCACAGTGCCGACGTGAAATATCCTCAGTGGTAGACAGATCATGGGTAAAAGTCTCTTCGCCTTCAGGATTAGTTCCATCAAAACGTCCTCCGCGAAAGCACATTTCTCTCAATACTTGATCCAGGAGTTCTCTTATCTTCTGGATTGGGTCCGAAATTACAAAGCTACGGAGTTGAACATTGGTAGTCGTAAACCCAAAAATTAGGTCGGATCTTCAACGACAGTTAATATAAAATAAAATAGACTTGTCTAGTTATTTCATGAAATACTTAAATAAACTCAGTGGCGCAACAACCAATGAAGAGCCCATCCCAGTTTTCATGTCCTTGGGCTCTGAGATGTAAACGCAGATGTTCCGGTTGAGTTCAGCAGAACCCCCAGTGTTTAGCCCCCAAGCATGCTTGTTAGTCATTTTATTTACCCACTGAAGGGATGACAGGTTGAGTAGACCTCGCTCGATCCGAGGATAGAACCCCAAACCTGTGGTGCGGAAGCGCAAACGCTAACATTCAGCCACTGGGCGTCGCATGAATACCTAGTTACACTGAAATAACGTATTTCACGCTTTAACGGTAACACATGTCTGTGCAATACACTAGCTGAAAGCAGAAGATATAAATCACTCCTATTATTTGGATTCACACGTACTGAAATGCTATTTTAACGTATTGAATAAATGACCTAAATATTCTTATCAATTAGAGAAGGCGCTAATTTAATTTCTGAAATCAGATAGGAAAATGTACTTTCTCCGAATAAACAGACCATTTTCTTTGGTGGATTCGAAATGTTTTCCCTCAAAATATGTAGTTGTAATTTAAAAATATTGTAGCTATAGTTCATACTGGAAAGCAGGTAGAAATATGAGACTAATTGCTAATTTTACTTCTTGAATAAGCCCTAATATCTCTGAAAAAATTTCAGCGAATAGAAAAAGGAAAGTGCATACAATAAAACCCGTATGTCCAAGAATAATATCATGCAAAATATATTTTTTACAAGTATTAATTATTTTTTATTAAAGATAATAATGCTCGAAGAGCTAAACTAAAAGATAATATATTTGCACTAAGTAATTTTACGTAAAAAAAAATTCTGAAACGTGTACGTAATCTATCAAATAGTTCTCAAGAAAATAAATATCAAAATTAAAATGGGTTCTTTTATTTTTTTCTACCTACTTTTATTATTACATAATAGCGAAAAGTTTTAAATATTTTAACCAAATTTGTTTTCAATTTTCTTTGAAATAATTCAAACTAAATAGAAATAAATAAAAATTATAAATGTTCTGTACAATATAAAAGTTACACTTTCAGTTAAAATTATTTTTAATTATGTATTATCATCTAGAAAAGAAAAAGCTAAACCACAAGATAAGGCAAACAGAGTTAGACTTTGTTTCCCCAAAAATTAAAGAAAAGTCCCAAATTAGTATCAAAATCAGTTTAATTCAAAATTCCTTTTCTAATTAACATCAATAAAAAAATTGTTATTCAGGATAAAAACTCTAAAAACTTTTACTTCAGCTCCCCATGTTTAAACCAGACATAATTGTTTACCTCTTTCCAAAGATTGTTTGGAAAGAGGCAAATTGAGTTAATTTTTAAACCATTCCTTTTTCTATATCATTCATAAAATTTTATCTTTTAGATTGTTAAGAGACTTGAATGGGAACTGGACAAGTACAGAGATAAAGCTGTTCACATAAGAAATAAAAAACACGACCCGTTTGCGAATCCTAAGTATCATGGATATGCTTGGAGTCCGTGGAAGAAAACAGACGATTCTGATTGGGAATAGAAAACAAATACTATTATTTCAACAAATAATATAATGTATACAAACAAATAATATAATTTCAATAAAACTATTTTCCTTAATATATGAAGAAAAAAAATTTAAAAATTGACAAACATTTATTTTCTGAAAAGTCTCATAAGTACTACAATTGCGTTGTAAATGCTTTCTTATGACGTCGAAACAGTTGAGCTGCTATCTGTTTGTTAGATAATAAACTAAAATAATTTTATTTCAGTTATAGCACAGCTAATAAATCATGAATGAATATGTCGTTAAACGAAATTTCGCCCAGTCTCCGACTATCTAGAATGCACCAATTTCAACTAATTGGTTCGCTTAAAACAATTTACATACCATTGTTACCTAAATCATTCGATGTTAAAATTGTGATTTATTAAGAAAACCAAACATAAAATTCATGATTCAAGTTTTAATAGATTAAATTTTGATGGAGAATATTAGAACATATTTAGGAGTAATTTTATTTTATTTAAAAATGATTTTCATCGTTTTATAATGAAAAAATTCACATAAGATTTCTTTCACATAAATTTTTACATAATACATCTCTCTTTAGGTTATAAAAATGACACATATCATTCGAATACATATATAGGCACATGAGCCTACATATGTATCCAAACCAAATTTATTTCCTGTTACACATTCATGGTTACGCTTTGATTCGAACCCGCTATTTCCGTTTTAAATAGCGTTTGTTGGAAAGTCGAGACTGCGGTAAAAAGACAACTTTAAACAAAATCATCACTATTCTAAAGATTTATTCGTTTACTTATTGTTACACACAAATATGCAGGCTTGTGTTCTCATTACGACTATAAGCCCTTGTAAAGTTTTAGAACAGATTACTCAAATTAGAATAAGACATTACAAAGATGCATCTAGTGTAATGTGGAGGGAGTTAATTTGAATCCAACTGTGTCCCAGGATATAAGTTTGTGCTGTCTTTCTCTATCTTGTGCTATTTGCATTTCGATTTGAAAAGGGTATATAAGGCGAACTTTGTAATGAGCACACAAGCCTGCGTTTATGCGCGCAACAACAAATAAATAGATGCATTCAATAAGGTTACGGTGAAATTCAAACCCGCCTATCTCTACGCTTATATTTTACTATGTTAGGATAGCACCCTGATGCGTAACACTTATGTTATTGATTAAGTTTAGCCTTTTCCAGGCATTTGTGCAGTGCATAAAGTAATAAACGGACCACCATGAATAACTTTTGATCTAATAATCGGATCTTCACATTCTATAATTCAATCGTAAGGGTTTGAAGGGGTGACCTCTAATTTGCTAATTAAATTGTACATATGATATTTTAAGTTACGAAATCAAAGATAAAAACGTACAATCATTTAATTAACATGCCTTTTTTTCGGAGGATTCGGATTTCTGACCCCCGGAATATAGGCGGAACAATCAGGAAAATATGGTCCCTATAGTATGGTCAGGTGAGCGGCCCAAAGTTTTAACACTGTAATCTTGATTTTACCTTTTACGGATTTCACTATATCTCGAGAACGTTTTAAGCAAATTGAAAATTTTTTGCACATAGTTTAACATTCGTTTATTCAAATATATTTCCATGCAAAATATAACTTTCAGTAAATATTTATTATTTTGTATCATTTTATTTAAATAGTCAAAAAAGGGTATATAAATTTCCACATCATTTCAAAGAATGTAATTTTAAATGGCAAAATTCAAACGATATCGATGAACAATTCCTGAGAAATCAAATTTTACATATACGACTTTTTAAAACAATTCCATAATTTCTTAAACGCATGTAATTCATACAAGGAATGACACAATACAGATATTGTCGACACAGTATTTTGTTTTCATGAACATGTCTAATTAGATCGGTCGAATAGTTCCTGAGAAATCGAATTTTAAAAATCCAACTTTCTTAAAAATTTTATATCTCAGGAACTATTCGACCGATTTCGTTAATTTTTTTTTATTTTGCCATGTAAAATTACAGTCTTTAAAATTATGTAAAAATTTGCATACCTTAAAATTCAAAATTTTTTCGACTACTATTAAATAAAAAAATTTTAAAAAATTTCGCAAAACATTATTTTTTTCATCTTAAGCAAATTTTATAATTGTGTGCAAAAAAATTTTCAATTTGCTAAAAAGTGTTTTGGCAAAATACGCGAAAAATAAAACAAACATTAAGGGGTTCAAACTTTAATGGCTGTTTTGATCAAACTATGGAGACCATATTTCTCTCTCCTCTATATTTAGGCTGTTAAAAATCCGAATTCCGTCAGAAGAAAGGTATGTTTATTCTGAGAAGGTACGCTTTTTTCGTCTGAATTCGTAACTTAAAATATCATCTACAGTAGATAATTAACATATTTAAGATCACCCCTTTGAACCATTAAGAATGAGTCCTAGAATCTGAAGATCCTAACATAAAATCAAAAGTTATTCAGGGTGTTCCATTTATTTTTTTTTGAGAACTGTTCGTGTACAAATGCACATTTTTTAAAGTTTTAAATGTTGGTGGATGTTAACTTATAACATACATAGGAAAAAATTAATAATTAACATGCGAGAAACATAAGTTAACAAGTGTTTACTAAACAAAATAGAAGTTATCAAACTCAACATTTTTGCGTCATCTCAAATTATATAAATACTGATAAAATTACCAACTTTTGGTTAACCTTACCAAATTTAACCACACTACCAACCAGTGTGGTAATAAAAACCATATTTTATTGTTAATTTTACTAAAACGTCTAATGTCCATTTTACCTAGGCTCTCCGATAAAATTTGTGCTGTGTTTAGGTGTTTACCGTATAGCCAGAAAAAAGGCAAAGTTTTCCATATTCAATTATTTAATGACCATACTTATTTTCAGAATGTATGGAACCATTTTAAAGATTGACGCGAATAGCAACTATTTATGTCTATCAAATCATACCATATTATTACTATTAAATCATAAATTCCAAATTTGTGAAGGAGCTTTTTAAGTGTCTATTGTATCTTCGCGATTCAGGTTACTTCTTCTTCAAAATAAACATTTATTTTTGGCTACATTTTTAGAAACATTTCAACTCAAATGCTAACCACTGGAATAGGAACCATATATCTCATAAAAATAAAAATTTCTAATTCACTAAAATAATTTTTTTTGGTGTGTCATTCCATATTTAATGTTTACGACATTTTTAACCTAAGTAAAAAGTAATTTAAGACAGCCATTTTTTTAAAATATTATCTTAAGTTAAAACTTTAAAATGAACTGAAAAACTTCGATCAATTTCAAAACCATAATCTCAAAAATAGAATTGCACTAGTCATATAAAATCAGGCTAACATAAGCATTACTGAAAAATCGACACAGTAAGATCAAATAAAAAAAGCAGACGATAATGTTGGAATTTCTCAGAGTTGATAGATTTCACCACTAGCGAATATTGTTAATGTTTTCATTTACTGTTAATTTATTCTTCTTCTTGTGATTTACTTATTTATAATAGCAATCTTGCCGAAGATTTTATATAATATAAATATGAATACTGAAGAAGGAAAAGAATTTTGTGACGTTTTAAGAAGCGTATATTACAGGGATGGCCAACCTGCGGCTCGCGAGCCACATGCGGCTCTTTGAAGGATTATTTGTGGCTCTCAATAAATGTACCCGAGTTCCCTTTTCATTTTTGTGCTATTATACTTTAAAAAATTATTATCGTTCCGTATGTGTTTCAAAATATCTTTTAAATTACTGAGAACAAATACGAAAGACTAAGAGCAATTTTGTTCAATTCAGGGTAAGTTTTCTATTTCCAATATAATTATGACACAAAAAGCATCTGGAGAAATAGAATTAATAGAGATGCAGGAGGATCAAGCTCTACAATTAAAATATAAGTCGACGTCGTTTACTGAATTTTGGAAATTTGTATCAGAATCGAAGCATCCTGAATTAAAAAAGGCTGCTTGTCTAATTATTTCAATATTTGGAACAACGCATTTATGTGAATCATTTTATTCCACTTTAAAATTCGTGAAATCTAAACACCGATCAGTATTAACAAACCAGCATCTCAAAGAATTACTGAGAAGTGCTGTCACCAATTATTCACTAAATTTTAGAGAATTATCAAGAGAAGGTAAAATAAATGTGTTTAATTTTAAATTCAATACACAAATTTTGTACTTTTACTTATACGTTTTCAATAAATATAGTTTATGTAATAAAAATTTTTAATACCTTTTAAATACGTATATAATTGCGGCTCACGAAAAATTTCAAATTTTGAAAAATGGCTCGTCTATGTAGGGAGCTTGGCCACCCCTGGTATATTAGTTGAAATTGAAAACTAAAGAACAACGATAAGAGGACAAATACAGGGTAACAAAAAATTATAGGGATCACTTTTGTGGTTATCTACCACTAAAGTTTTAAAACCTTTTTACATATATACCATACTGATCTAAAGCTCTACTATTTGACTTTCAATTGTAATACTATTTCATAAAATTACAAAAATGCTTTTGAAGAAATTTGACAAAAAGCTAATTGGTCAAGTACAAGCATTTTTAGAACTTCGATGGAGCCACAAAATTATAGAAACCCCTTTTTAAAAAGAAAGGTATTGCGATTTCACTCAGCCATATCAGTCGCATCAAGAATTCAAAACTTTGATCGATGCAAAATAATGCAAAACCAAAAAGAAGTGGACGGGCAAGCAAATTGAAGAAATCAGATTTGCAGAAGCTTGATAAGATGACATCAAAACCGGATCCACCAACACAGACAAGCATGGCTAAAGCTCTTAACGGGAGTCAGCAAGTTGTAAGCTATCAACTAAAACAAAAGTTGAAGAAAAAATGCCATAAAAGACCTAAATGTCATCATTTAAGTGAGAGATCAGTGCAGATTAGGAGGCAACGCTTATGGCCTCTCTACAAGCTTCTCTGTAGGGACAGATGGCGAAAGTTCATTACAACTG